TGAACATACAGGGTTTTCAGAAGAAAATCTCTTGGAAACTCGTTTATCGGAATCAAAAATTTAGGCCCTATTTTGAGGTCTCGAAAATAGAAAATAGTATTAATGAAAGATCTCTTCAAATAATCAGTGGTGGCCTGTCAACAGCGGCTCCTCAAAAACGCAACCAGAATGCCAGTTTATTTGCTAAATGTGCACAATATAGTTTTAAAATAAATTATTTATAGTTTTAATGAATGCATGAATTACACAGGTGGCTGACAGCACAAAAGCTCACTTGATTTAATGACCAATCAGAATGAATATTCAAGCAATTCCACTTCCACATTAATGAGACTTTCAGTCAAACATTCCTTAAAAATTTGATTAAAAAAACACCCCTTTATTTATTTTTTTTTATTTTTATTATTCCCCAAATTATGTTTAACAGAACAAGGACATTTTCACATTATTTCTGATAATATTTTTTCTTCAGGAGAAAGTCGTATTTGTTTTATTTTGGCTAGAATAAAAAAAGTTTACATTTTTTTAATCCATTTTAAGGTCAAAATTATGTAACAATTTTGTAACAATTTTTTTCCGATAGTCAATAGAACAAATCATTGTTATACAATACTTCCCTAGTTAAACATTAACCCAGTTGATCCTTTAAAATGTCACTTTAAGCTGTATAGAGGTGTCTTAAAAATGTCTACTAAAATATTGTTTACTCTTATTATGGCAAAGATAAAATAAATGAATTATTAGAAATGAGTTATTACAACTATTATGTTTAGAAATGTGTTGAAAAAATCTAGTCTCTGTTTAAAAAGAAATTGGGGAAAAAAATAAACAGGGGGGCTAATAATTCTGACTTCAACTGTATATTTGCCGAAAACTCTTATCCAAAATGTGCATCTCAAAACATTTTAACAAACTGTTATATAATTAGTGATGTTATTCTTAACTAAAATTATTTTAAAAATTATTTGTGCTGGCTGAAATAGAGATTATTATTTGAAAATCATATACTTAAACCATTTAAGCTCAAATGCTGAAAACATTAGAATTATTTATTTATTATTTATTAAGTAAATAAATTGAATAGAATATGACAGATAAAACTAATAAAATAATAGAAGCACATAAAAGGTCTCAAAGCAAAAACTAAAACATGAATTACCATTCAGTAAAATCATGTGTCAAAAAAAAAACTAAAGCTAATCCAAAATATTAATTAATATTTTATTACTATAAAAATAACACTAAAAGATCACTGTCTAGTAAAGCATATCAAGACTTAATTACCAGACAAAAGAGTGAATAATATAATAACACTTAGAATCTTTATTAGTCTGATCAATACTGATTTAGTACAAATTCCTCTGAAGACACCCAGTTGCCCAGCAATAAACAAGCTGCTCTATTCTTCAGCTTCGAGCAACACATTATACATTCAGCACCACACCAAGGATACAGCCCTTTCTCTCTTCTCCTCACCCCCCACCCCCCCTCCTCTCCTTGACTCTTTTCTCTCTGTTTGTTTGCATGGCTTTCTGCTCATCTTCTGGCACATTTTTGCAACAGTAAGGCAGCACAAACAGATCCCAATACCCAGCATGTCAACATCCTCTAAGTTTTTCTTTTGACAGATCATGAGATCATGAAAAGATGGCATTTGTCCAAAATCGCATTCTTCAGTCCCTTGATGTCTACATGAAAACGTACAGTCTTCCCCAACATCATACAGTACTAAGCCACTTGCACCACTAATTTTCCCAACTGCGAGTGTGTGTGCTTGTGTGTGTTTGATTTCTGTGACAGGACAGTTATTTTGAAGTTTATTTCATGTGTTTTTCGTTCCACCCATCCTTCTCCCCGGTGAGCGTGAATCCGTTGAGGGAAAAAGTCGCATGTTTTTTGAAGTGTGATGTCTCGGGGCCTGAAAAGAAGTTTAGGAGTTCTCCTCTGATTTCAAGAGGAGTCGTGAATACTCATCTGAATAATTATACCCACTCTCTGCTTTCTTCTGTCAGTCCAAATGCTTTCCCAGCGTACATTAATGGCAGCCCCCTACCAACCCTGCCCTAGATATTAATATCTTTCCCTACATAAAAAAGAGATGCTGAAATAAAAACATCGCAGTGAACTTTCCACAAACGCCTATAAAATTCCACTTCAGATAAGATACAGTAAATACATTGACTTATTAATAACTTACCAATTGACTTATTAATAACTGATATAGCATTTAGATGTATTATCTATTTCTGTGACAAAACTGGCCAAGGTTATACCAGAGACCATCACTAATTACTAAGTAATTAGTAAGACTTAACTAAACCATTTTTAAACCTTAAAATTGAAAGGTTATTTAATGTTTATTAATGTTTGTTCATGTATAGCAGATGTTACCAGACTTTTCTGTTAGCCAAACTCTTTAAAATAAAATATTTACTTGAAGTTACCCTTTGGTAATAATTGTACAAAATATGAATTTATTTATTGTGACATATTCCATAACGCCAGTTAGTCATTTTAATTTTATGTACAGTGCTCAACATATAAGTAGACCCCTTACAAATCTCTCATTTAAATGAATATTTTCTATAAAAAGCTCTACAATATTAGATTTGAGCATATTCATTAGATCAGGGGTTCCCAAATTTTTTAAGCCCACAACCCCGAAAATAACAATGCCATGCAGTGAAAATTCCTCTAGGTTTTAAATGAAGAGTTCAGATGCAAAAACCTGTGCCAAAAAGTGGCATCTGAAATTTGTATCAAACTGAACATTTTTCTCAGCCTCCTTTGATAATGTTGAGATATTTCACTTTAAAGACCAGAAAAAAAGACTTATTCTTTGCCATAAAAATGATATTACCGAACATACACACAAAATTTTAGAGGAAAATTTAAGACGGCATTTATAGGTTTTTTCATCTAAACTCTTCAAATATGTAAATGTTGCTCATACAACAATAGCACTACATAAACACCAGCTTACTGACAACACAAAAAAAACCAACTGTCTAACAACCAAATAATGTGTAAGGTCAATTATTTTCAATTAATTATTTATTTAATTATTTAATTATCTAATTATTTACTTACTTACTTATTTATATAATCTATTTATTTTATTTAATATTAACCTCACCTAAAGAGACTGGTGGGCACAATGCTTTCAGCACAAGTCTATTCTTTGTTTAATTTTGGAGATCGCTAATCAGTGATCATTCTCAATATTCAGTTGTAACAGGACATTACAGAAGAGCAGTGCATATTGCCACAGGACACTGTTTAATCAATTCTTGTCTCATTTCTCAGCACTACTGGTATTTGGACATTGCGTTTTGCAGGTGGAAAATGCAAACTGCTGGCCACAAGTAATCCACCAGGCAAAGATCAGGATACTGAAGGTTTAGTTGTTACACAAGTCTCTGAAAGTGGCCCAATAATTTTGACATATCCGTTAAGAACTACAGTGCTTCCGGCTACAATCACTTCAGGCATGTCTGCCTTTCCTTTCACTTGGCCCAAAACAGAAACTCCTTGATGAAACTCCTTAAAATTGGTAACACAATTTGTGGTAAACTACCCTTTTATTGTGAATTACCAATGTCATTCTACAATTTACCTTAAAACAACATATAACCATAAGGCATTTGTATATTACTATATATTCTACACATATACTTTTTGGCCGCAGTTTGCTGTTGTTAAACAGTTGCACAATGGCTTAGTTTACAGCATATCACAAAGTAAAACCTTCTAATGCAGCTTTAGTTCTGCCACTCCTATTCAAATACAGTGTTCAAAAGTACATGGTATTCAAACAGGTGTGGAAGTGGGAAAACACCTGCAAGTATATTGTTGTTACACAATGCAATTATGTAATTCTTGTTACAGATGTGTTCTTTTTTTATTGTTTTTACCAATGTCCTGTTACACATTTAAACTTACACATACTATTCAGGATGTTGTTACATGTGTGTAGTTACCCCAGTATTACACAAGTAAATACTATGTACCAATGTGTACATACACTGTAGTTACGTACTACTTACACATCTAGTTACCATGTAAGTTCACAGGTATAAGTGACTATAAAGTGGGACCAAATATGGTAATTCTAATAGTTTAATAAAATGTATTTAACTTTTTTAAATCACCAAGCAACCCCCTATTATTGTCCCGTGACCCCGAAGGTGGTCCCGACGCCCACTTTAGGAACGACTGCAGTAGAATAGTCATTACTGAAGCCAAATCTGGAGTTTATCTAACAAAATAAATTATGATAATGGTCAAAAATTAGTACACCCAAATGCATATGTCAGAGAAAAAATATTAAATTTAAAAAAAATTAAAAAGAGGAAAATTCAAGAGAAACAAAAAGTTTATAACATTTTGTTAAAATTTTGTAGTTGCAATTTTTTTCCCAATACTTTGCATGAACTTAAATGTAAAATCTTTCTATTTCTGAAGGTGTTCGGTGAAAAACATCATTTGATTAAATATATCCATATATTAAAACCAACCAAAGCTCATTCTGATTACTTATCCCTATACATATAAAGAGAGCAAAATACATCCAAGGAGGTACACATTTTGTATTTGCGAATCCGCTAGAGGCTGCTGTGTATGCTATTTCACGTCAACAATCTCTCGCAAGGGCCATTCGGCCAGCTCTTCTCACGTAAATCCACCAGAGACTGCTTTAATTTAAACTAATTTAAATTTTAACTAATTTACTGACTGACTAACCAACCGACCGATACCCCCACTCCCCCCTTTCCTAAACCCAACCAATAGTTTTTTGAAAAGCACAGATTGACCAGCTAACCCCTTTCCCTAAATCTAACCACAGTGTTTTGAAAAGCAATCCAGAAAAAGAAAACCCCCTGCCTGGTTTTCAGCACGTTCCAGATTTTACCACATTCTCAACCTGTTATCTACTTCACTTGTTTTTTTTTTTTTTTTTTTTTTTTTTTTTTTTTTTTTGGCTTCTGTTTTTGTCTTACCCTTTTTCTGGAACCCTTCTTTACTGGACTCAATCCCTGATGTTGCAGCCAACTCCGCTCTGCATCTCAAGTCCGCCGGCGTACACATCGAGCTACCGGATAAACTGGTAACAGCAGAAAAGCCGTCCACAGTGACATACTGCCCCATATTGTTCATTTTAAAGACAAAATGCAGCCATCTGTCGGTCTGACTACATAATTTGCAATCTCTGGAAACGTATATGGGGGTACATTTTCAGAATGACCCTATGTTGAATAAATCTGTTTCGTTCAAAAGCACCAAAGTATTTAATTGAAAAATGGATAAAAATATTCAATTATTATTTATTTATTATTATATAATTATTTATGATTTAAGTCATTATGCAGTTCCTTCTAAATTTTGGGAAAGTCAGGAATAAAGTTTTGTTTATAATACTTTTTTTTAAAACCTAATTTATGTACTTCGTGTTTATGTGTGTGGGCATCAATACAAGACACAATAATCCCATTCAACATCCCAATGGATTCCATTACCAATAGCAATTTTCATAATGTAATTTGAAATAAGTAACAGACTGCAAAAAATAAATAAATAAATTCATATAAAAGCCCAAAGTCAATATATGCCTACACATGATTGCATCTACTCTGCTTGTGTGGAAGATAGCAAATAGCAAAAGGTCTGCATTAGGCCTTATATTTAGATCAGCTTTATTGATGAGCATGCATCAGACCGTCAGCAAATGGACTGAGGACGTGTTGTCTGAGGCTGGCGTGACAGCGATGCACCAACATCAGTTGTGTGAAAGCAAATCCCATCATGAACAGCTTCACTTAAACCAATCCAAACACGTAATTAAATGTAAGCAAGAGCCCACAGGCAAAGCTGCACAGTTCAGTGGGGTTAAAATGAGTTGAGACCCTTTTTCTGAGCTTTACGTAATGTTACATCAGCACAATCTAGCTGATGATTATGAGAAAGAATAAATAAGCATGAATGGAAAGAAGAGAGGGAGGAAAAAAAGCACTTTGTCTCATTTTGAAATCTTTCCAGGGCATCCGTGCTAGTGCTAATCCAAATGTGTGAGCGTGGTTGTCTCTCCAGCTGTACCATAAAGGCCTTTGCTTCACACTGGCAGCCATATGAATGGTTGCATCGCAGTGTTACTGTGCACAAAAAGTTGGCACAGGAGGCAGAAAATATACAAAAAAAATCCACCCCCATCCTCTCTTCCTTGCTCTCACTCCAAGAGTTCAGTGAGTCATTACTGCACTTTTATCCAAATGTGAGTAAAAATCCGTTGTTCTGACTTGAGTGCTGCAGTTTATGAGTGATTATCAAATGAAAGTAGTTACACCAGTAGAGATAATTAGTGCTGTTCAGCATGCAGCACTTTCACTCCAATTGCAAGATGCACATGCTCACAAATTCGTTTTTTGAAGTCAAGGGTTTTGTGTGTGAAGTCGCTTCAGGAGAGCAGACCCAAAAGAAAAAAAAACTAATGGTTAAATGAAAAAAAAAAAAAAAACATCAGAAAATGATACATGTTTGATGATAATGAACTGAGTGTCATGCTCAAGAAACCAGTTTGAGATTATTTGAGATTTGTGACATGATACACTATCCCTCAAGAATTTGCCATCATCAAAAAATGGGTTCAATGTGGTCATGAAGAAATGGGCATGGTCAGCAGGTATACTAGAAATGGGAATCTTCACAATCCCATGGAGGTCATGATCTGATTCTAAAACAATTAATACATTTTCCTATTTCTTCTTGTGTACATCTCTGCAACTTTACATTTTAACCAGAATCTGGATTCTATGCTTTTGTTTAATGATTAAAGTCTCTGTATGACAGTGCTGCCATCTTCAAAATTAATTATTAAAGAATTGTTCAGGAAGAACAAACTCAGAATCTTAAAACACCAGATTACAAAGAGCAATTATAAAGAACAAGAAGTACTTTTTCCAAGAGAATGAGAGAGGAAGCGCATTGCAATTTGTCAGTTTGTTTATAGAAGAAAATTTTATATATACATGTACAGCTGAATTCAAAATTATTAGCTCTCTTTTAAAATTGTAATTTATTTTCTGCATTAACATGATGAAATTTTGCAAGATACTTGCATTCAGTTTAAAGAATAAAACCAGCTTAAACAAATCTTAAGGCTTCATTTGTTTTCTCTTTCATTCACAACACACAAGCCTTCACTCATCTGTAATGGCAGTAATGGTGATGATTCTGCTGTAGTCAGTGTACATGCATCACCTTTATGCCACCTTGTAAGGCTCCTTATTGATCCTAAAACCAGCGTGGCGCTGCTGAGAACTCAACATTTCACTTTTGGTTGTGAAAGAAATTTGAACTGTGTCTTGATTTTGTCGTCAAACAATGGACAAAAAGCGCAATGTCGCACCTCACCTATAAATTCTTGAGTTTATTTAGGTGTCCAAATGAAGTGAATTCATAAGCATGGGTATATGCGCCATTCCTTCATTTTTCATCGACTTAGTCTTTTTATTATCAGGGGTTGCCACAGCGGAACGAACCACCAATTATTCCAGCATATGTTTTACACATTGGATGCCTTTCCAGCAACCAGTACTGGGAAACAAGCATTCACTCTCACATTCACACATGCACTCATACATTACAGCTAATTTTGTTTTACCCAGTTCACCTATTGTATGTGTTTGGACTGTGGGGGAAACCAGAGAACCCGGAGGAAACTCATGCGAATACAGAGAGAACATGCAAACTCCACACAGAAATTTAACTGGCCCAGCCTGGACTTGAACCAGTGACCTTTTTGCTGTGAGGTGACAGTGCTAACCACTGAGCCATCATGCCACCTCATATGTGCACCAATTAACGCTTATTATTTTTCTGTTTAGAGCTCATCTCAATGCAGGAACACACAGTCACATCCTAATTTGAAAACAGAATCAATTCTGAACATTAGAGAATTGACTCAGGAATATTAGAATTAACAATCATGATCGTGTCTCTGTAAAGTCTAGATAGGATGCACAGCTGGCAGGAAGTGTAAAATAGCAGCATTTGTATGACACTGTCTAATATTTTTACAGTACTGTGACAGTTGGGTTTTGGGTTTGGGTATAGAGTAGACGTTAAAAAATACAATTTGTTGGGTAATTTAATAGATAACATAAATAATACTCGGTCCAACTAATGTTTTTATGTTACTGTGATGGTTGGGTTTAGGATTGGAATGGGGGTAGACGTTAACAAAATACAATTAATAGGAAATTTAATCAATAATATAAATCATTTTCGTTAACTTCTGGCCTAACCATTTCTGATCAAGCAACAACCTTGTGTCTCCCACCCACAAATAATACTCAGATAGGCACTAGGCAGTGGTGGATGCTTAATTGAAGAAGCCCAAAGTGTGCCAAGACAAACTCCCCCAGAACAGTAAACCACCAGAAGCAGCCTAAAATCTCAACATAATGCACAATACTGTAGATCTATGTTTTCATGTTGTTTATACCAAAACCTTGACTGAACCATTAAAATGTTTCAAGCAAAATCAAGGCCCATCAGAGCAGCCAACCTTTCCTTATGCTTATCAACCTGTTTGAATTGTAGCATTCAGTTTGTTCTTCTCATGTTTTGTGTTCAGATGTGCTCTTCTGCAGACCACAAATATCCAGAACAAGTGAAAATTTGAGTTACTGTTGCCTTTCGTCAGAAAACAGACTGCCCTTATACTGGCCTCTGACATCAATAAGCATTTCCACCTATTGAACTGCCCCTCACAGGATATGTTCTCTGTTTTGGACAATCCTCTGTAAAACATAAATATGGCTGCATGTGAAAATGCCAGCAGTTTCTGATACTCAGACCAGCCAATCTGCCACCAACCACATGTCATGGTCATAGTTCTTCTTAATTCTGATGATCTAAAGCAGGTCTGCATGCCTAAAAGCATTGAATTTCTGCCATGGCTTATTACCCTTTCGGTTTTCACATCAATTTTATTTATTTGTCTCCACTAATTCGAACATTATCAATAGGAAAGAGTGTTTGTGTATGAGAACAAACATGTTTCTACACATACAGTGCCACACAACCAATTCAGATGCCAAATAAATCCATGTCATATTTCAAATTCATTTCCTAAACAAAAGTAACCTCGTGGAAGAAGAGCATTGGGAAAGATAAAGAGCTTCAGACTTCTGTGCCTGTGAGGTTTTTGCGCATTTGAGTGCAAGTCGGTGTACATATAAATCAGAAAACGCAATAAGTGCATGCAGCAGTAACCATATGGAACTGAATGGGTGATGGAAGTCGTGCAGGAATGATGGCTTGCCTTGCACAGAATTATTTATGATGACATATCTGGAGAGCACAACAATATATATTCAGCATATATAACCCCATGTTAACCTCCAGGAAAAAAAAAAATCATCTTTCATGATTTAGTACCTGATGAAGTTTTAAATAAGCAAGGCTGAATTTTAAATATTTACCAAGTAGAAGACACAGCATGAATTTAAAACAGAATAACTGCACATAGAGAGAGAAAAATGTTGTGTTTACGCTGATTTGTCTATCAAAATATGACCAAAAAATGTTGTCCTAAATTTTAAAAACGTGCTGAGATCCAGGTTCAAATCAACTTCATAGACGAAGATGTAAGATAACACAGCCTGTTTCACATGCTGCGCCTTCAAGATGTCAACATCCTGTAGAAGCCCTCTAAGATCCACTGCACAACACTTGCCAAGAACAGGATTACTGTAGAGAATCTCAGCTTTGTTGCAATTGCTGTGCATCCCTCTACCTGAGACTGATCCTGCCACCATAGTTTAGAAGACTTACATCCTTAACCATTAAGCTCAGACGAAGCCACTGGGCCATAAAGGGCAATGACAATAAAAACAATTTGACAATGACATCCTCTCTCCCAGCATTCACTTCCCCCATTCAAGGAAGACTCTTATTTCACCACCAGTGCCTTGAGAGTTCAGAGTTCTTTACATTTTAAGATTTTATATTAAAAAAACAAATGTTGTTACACACATACCGTTTGCCATAGAATGCAAAAACTTCGAAGCTCAATATCTCAAAATCATTCAGAACGCAGATAGAACCTTACAATTCCAAGGTGACGGATTGTAAAGAGTAGAGTATTA